TCTTTGTTCTCTCCAGTTTTCTTGACACGGTGATTCTCGGCTGTCTGTTTTTCTTCTAATCTGAAGTGAACACGTTTGATATTTGACGTAAAAGCTTGTATATGGTATGACCTCATCATGTTATAATGGTTGTTATTGGATGCCATCAGTTGACTTGAAATGGATATAATGCAGGATAAGCTTTACTGTCAATATCGCTTGTGAATCATGGATGGAGTAACACGATATAACAGAATATCACTGTCGCTTCCAGTCTATGGTAGTAGAATAGAATATCACCAGGACTGTAGTATATCACATAATTTTAGGTGATTCGGTCATCTATGTACATCTAGGCAGTTGGAATGACCATGCTGGTCTTTTATTTTGCTCTTCGTGAACAGACTGCACAGACAGTGTGTTTAATTTGGGATTAACAAGAGGCCAAAAGGCTAGAACCAAGGATACAATTTTCATACTGCCATTAGATTGGCGTTATTTAGGCTTTTGTTTTTTTTTCCGGGGAGGTTCGAGATAAATATCATCTAACAGTGTCATCGGTCAAAATTTTCTAGGGGTTGGGGGCCGTAGGGCAAAAAGTTCTCTTATAGGCAAGTCGGTGCGGAGGTTTGGCATCTAACAGGGCTACTAGCATGCCGGTAACTATTTTTCGTGCATACAGAACAAAAAAAAAACAATTTTTGACCATTAAAAGAAAAAGCCACATTAGTTCACATGGATAATATCATTGGTTCAAGATTCTGTAAAGATTGTAAAGAGGTTTTCTAAAAAAAAAGGTATGTGTATCATGGGCACTATAGCATCAATTTGCACCATTCCAATTTTCAGTTAGAAATTCCGCAAAAAAGTGTCTGATGACCACAGACGTCTGAAAAATTGATTGGTGCAAATTAATGAAATTAGTATCCCCAATGCACATAAAAAATTTTTACAATCCCTTTTAGACTTTGGTCTTTTACTAAACATTTTTAGCAGTGACTATGGGTGACTTTAAGGTACTCATAAAGAGGGCTCACTTGAACAATGAGGACACTTATTCAGGTCACATTTCTTTGGCATATCAACTGTGATTTGAACCCACCATGATATGCTTATTCTGACTTATCTTCATATTATTTCTCCACCCAAACAATACTGTCGTCACTGTAGGGGTATACACTATCCGATATACTTCAAAATAGTCACCAGAGGCTCGTAATTAAATTACTGAACAGAACAGATCAGCTACTCAGGCCATCCCACACCATATTAGCTACAAACATTTCTTTACGAGAGCAATCGTCTATGGGTGACTTTAAGGTACCCATAAAGAGGGCTCACTGGAATAATGGGGACACTTATTCAGGTCACATTTCCTTTGCATATCAACTGTGATTTGAACTCACCATGATATGCTTATTCTGACTTATCTTCATATTATTTCTCCACCCAAACAATACTGTCGTCACTGTAGGGGTATACACTATCCGATATACTTCAAAATAGTCACCAGAGGCTCGTAATTAAATTACTGAACAGAACAGATCAGCTACTCAGGCCATCCCACACCATATTAGCTACAAACATTTCTTTACGAGAGCAATCGTCTATGGGTGACTTTAAGGTACCCATAAAGAGGGCTCACTGGAATAATGAGGACACTTATTCAGGTCACATTTCTTTGGCATATCAACTGTGATTTGAACCCACCCTGATATGCTTATTCTGACTTATCTTCATATTATTTCTCCACCCAAACAATACTGTCGTCACTGTAGGGGTATACACTATCCGATATACTTCAAAATAGTCACCAGGGGCTCGTAATTAAATTACTGAACAGAACAGATCAGCTACTCAGGCCATCCCACACCATATTAGCTACAAACATTTCTTTACGAGAGCAATCGTCTTAGTGGCTCAGAAAACACCTCATGGAAGTAGCCTATAACAATTAATTCAATTTAATTTTGGGTTTAAACCACTAAATATGAGTCTTATGTCTGAATGTATATATACCCTAGAGTAATATGAATCGGATAAGGTTCGTCTTTAAAAAAAATTGAATTAACCTTAATATCATAAAAAAAAATACCGTATTAGAAATAATAAACTCTCTATAGCCATATTGATCGCTCTCTAAGCTACTTAAATATATCGAAAATTAACATTTATAGCAGAGTATAGGAATAGAAAATATATATATAATGAACCATAGAATCCCACAAGTTTAATCCTTGATCCTATAGGATCAATTTTAAAAACCCGTTCATTCATTATTCAATCTTTGTTCACCCAAAAATGGGCTTTCAGCTTATAAAGTTTACATGTATATATTTTAAACCCGATCACCATGTACCAAATTATTTATAATTGCGATTCAAAAGTTGGGAGTGTTTTAAGTGTAACAGCCTGTTTCTGTGAATCTTGAAATTTTAAAAGCCTAATAGCACAGATCTCACGATTCTTTTGTGAATCATGAAGTTTTAAAAGCCTAATAGCACAGATCTCACGATTCTTTTGTGAATCATGAAGTTTTAAAAGCCTAATAGCACAGATCTCACGATTCTTCTGTGAATCATGAAGTTTTAAAAGCCTAATAGCACAGATCTCACGATTCTTCTGTGCATCTTGAAATTTTAAAAGCCTAATGGCACAGATCTTACGGTTTATCTGTGAATCTTGAAATTCTAAAAGCCTAATAGCACAGGTCTTACGATTCCCATCTCTGACAAAATTTCCTTGTGTGTCCAACGCTTATTATAAATACGGTATAATTTTCATATTTTCGTCTGTTTCTATTAAAAAATGAAGCCGACTTCTCTATAAGTGGACAGTATTTTCTACTTAACGGATTATATTTTCATAAAGTCGTCTACGTTGAGATAATAAACGTTAAAAAGTGTGAAGAAATTGAGACGAAGAAAGCCCAGGGGTATAGTAATCGTTGGGGTTTTAATTGAGCCGTACGGCTGCCATAGACATAGTGATAAACAACCTAAATAGAGAACTATTACCCAAACGATGTCCATAAAGTGGTTATATTACAAGAATTTTTCCAAATTGAAGATCCTTCAAACCAGGTGACGCTTGGCCACGATTTCTTGATTAATGTAAGTCATTGAAGACCTACAAACCTTTCAATTATGGGATTCGTTACGTTATATTCAGTTTATTTGAATCTTGAAAATCTTAACGAATACCAAGAAATTAAACGAAACATTGAAAATTTGCCAGCCTTTAGTGTAGTTACGTGGTATAGGGGTGTTCAAAACGTTTGGCAATATGCGCCACCAACAAGGGAACTTATATGAGAAGATTGTATTAATTTCATTGTATGCTGACATACGTTTGGGCCTGAAAATTTGAAGAAACACTGTTCATTTGAGCCTTTATTTGCAATAAAACTCGATTTCTTGATAAGTGATGATTCTGCTTGCAGCATTATTTATACTTCCGATATTTCAGTGTGAACAAAGTCTATAAAAAAAAAACGGAACACAATATTGTATGGTATACTTTATTATACCATTAAATTGTGTTCCGATATTTAATATGATTTCTACCTCTAAATGTCGCTAAAGGACTATTTAAAAAAAACTGTATGCCGTCAAAAACATATCCAAATCTTTTATGATAAAATTTCAAGGGCGAACAATAATTGAAAGTCGAGTATTCATAGTATACATACTAGAACAGATGTAGATAATTTGCAAATGAAGATAGATTATGTGTACATTTTAAAATTCCCCCCGCTTAAGTTATATAAAGAAATTTTAAACAGATTTCTTAACTGTTTCACTTACATTCGGAGAATTCAAGTAGCTTATTGTTGTTATTTGTCTGTTCCCCTATCAACCAACATCTATCTGGTTTCAAATATGATCGTAATCACAAAATATTATAACAAAATGTTGAAGCTATCATATTAAATGGTACTCTATCAATCAGTTGTTTATTATACCCCGATAGTATTTAGACTATATCAGACTGAACTAGCTAATAATTGAAGATTAATCAGATGCCTTTAGCCTATAATTTGGTCATCCATCATGGTTATGGTGCGTCCAGTAAGACAAGAACTTGACCATACCTCATGGAATGATAGAGTATCATTACTTTTGTAAGTTACAAAGGCCAAAGTGGCTTGGTTAGTGTATGTATATCCTGTGTTTTTAAAAATGGTCTTCAAAGTTGATGGAAACGCCTACTTGTTCTTAAGGGTCCGAGGTAACACCTCAATACAGAGGCGTATTAAGCATGGGCAAGTGTATCGGAACAGTACAGGCAGCCCGTTAGTCAACCCATTAGTGGATCTGTGGCACCAATCTCTGACAAAACGAAAGCTAGATCGATGTTTTGGCATTGCAAAATTTCTACTACCTATATGTAAACTTGGAAGATTTTTTCATTCTGACGTATCTATATGTTCCATTCACGAGTAAATGCAATGGTTTCTCACAAGACTTAACAAATGAAGATAAATGGTATTAGAGATATTCAGACATTCATGCATAGGTAATATTACCACATGTCAATGCCATTTATTGTTGATAGGAAAGTTTCAGCTAAATTATGCAATATATATTGCCTGTGACTATCTTTCATCTTCAGACACAGAAATTTCATACATAATTTTTTTTAATTTTCGAAGAACACATTAATAATAATTAAACACTGCTAAGGCTTTTTGTCTGACAATTTTCTTTCAGGGCAAACCACTGATTACATTGTGGAGTTTGTTTGTTATCCGATTTTAATGTAATTATATCATGTTCATTTTCCACGTTATCAAGTAGCGATATTTCTTGATGATTCGCATTATAAACAGCTTTTGTCCGTTTCCCGTGTCTTTCTAAACAAAGTGAGAAATTTCCATCAGTTTGACAAGGTTTCTTCGCTTGATTTCCTACTTTCCGATTGCTGCCATTCAGTAAACGATTTTTCTCATCGAGTGACTTCACTTTTTTATTGCAACACGAAAATTGTTTTAGAACGCGTCTTACGTGCCGTCGTCTTAATGTAAACAAACCATAAAGAATTGGATTAAGAGCACTATGGGTCATAAAAATACTTTCCGCTACTGCCAAAGGCTGTTTTAATTTAATTGCATAATCACTGTAAATTCGTATTAGGGTAATGATAAAGTAAGGTGTTAAACAGACTAGAAATCCAATGATCACTGTTAATGTTAGAATAACAGCACGCCTTTTAGCTGCTGTCACCAGGCCACGACGAACGGACATCCGAGGCGACTGGACGTGATCGTCTTCAGTCTGGTTGCTATGATTTCGATGATCACCATTGCCTCGTGTCCAGACAACTGAAATTATCTTTATGTAACAATATAGCATCACAGACGATGGAATAACAAGGATATAAAGGGTCATATACGTCATGTAAACTTTCCTTTGCCATTCGGCTGTATAGCCATGACTAACACACGCACGACGCGGAGTTCCGTCAAATTTAGAACCCTTTTCCACCTGAACGAATATTAAGAGTTGGGGAGATGCGAAGATAAAGGCCATTAACCATGCCAGGAACACTTTTCGGCCTATTCTAGGACGAGAGGCTAATGCTTGAAGAGGTTTAACTATAACTTGATAACGGTCAATACTCATTGCCATCAAGAGAAATGTTGCACTTGAGAATGTCACTATTTGAAGATAAACACACACTTTACACAATACAGGTCCCAATATCCATTCATCAAACGCTAAGAAGAGGATTTCAGTTGTATTAGTAAAACATGCCACTGCTAAATCTCCTATTGCCAGATTTAATAAGAATATATTGACACGTTTAATGCGACGGGAATGTTTACATACAATGGTTAAAATTAAGGTTGTGTTGCCCACAATGGTACAGATCATAATAAATGACACTATGGCTACACGTTCTGTAATTTCACTGGTCCACACATAATTCACTGTACCGTTCGTTTCCAGATCCCTTCCCTCCACAGAGTCCACATTTTCAGGAATATATTCCTTAGACTCATTTGTGCCAAGAGCTTCAAGAACCTCCATACTTATTCCATTATCTGGTATGGGACTTTAATAAACATCAGACAACGCCTACATCCCAAATCAAGAATATTTCAAGAATATATACCAATACACTATGTCATAGTAATAACAGAAAAAATTTTGGTACACATTTGCATATGCCATATACAGAAACATTGGTCTTAACAAAATCGCGTATATTATAAAACACTGAAACCTTTTTTGTAAACTCTCACTGCTATGAACAATAAAACAATGTGCTTTTTCCTTGCAGCTTTAATTGGTAATTAGGTAGCAGTGAATAGAAGACGTGTTTGAAGAGCACTAGTTAGACCGGATTCCAAAGGAAATAATATAACCATTATTATAACTATATAGAATAGAAGAATCCTGTTTATTATCATTAATCCATTATGAATATCTTAACACTTGATTTCTCTTCCTTCTATATTGGACATGACAGGAACGACAATATTCAACCGCCCTCGGGAATCTAAAATATACAAATATACATAAACATTGAATAAGATTAAGTAGTAATCTAAACAACACTTTAGGAAATCAAAACACAAGTCACAAATCATTCAAAGTCTTGTCAGATCCCGTAGGCTGTGTTGGTGTTTGTGCCAAGTCCTTTATTGTGTTTCCAACTGGTGAATCCCATTTCCCCTAACCAAAATTTCAGATAAGTACCACTTGTATGTGTATATTAAATATGTGCAATATTTTAGAAAAAATCGTTTTCGAAAGGTTTTGAAATTACAATGATTTGGCTTAAATGAATTCTAAAATCAAGATACCTTATATTATTGTCAATATGAATTTAGTCTAAATTAGACTTATGCCTATTCACTTAATGGTGTCAGTATTTCTGAAGGGACGATTTGTTCACTTTAATCGTCCAAGTTATTACTGAAAACACGATTTGTTCACTTTTATCGTCGAAGTTAATACTGAAAACACGATTTGTTCACTTTAATAGTCGAAGTCATTACTGAAAACACAATTTGTTCACTAATCGTCGAAGTTATTACTGAAAACACGATTTGTTCACTTTTATCATCTCGATAAAATTGTCTCAGTAAGTTCTGAAATGACAACATTTCACTTTTATCGTCTCAGTAATAACTGAAAACTCGATTCGTCCACTTGTAACAATAATATTTGAAATGAGGGTGTGTATACATAAATCTCAGAAAGAACTTAAGATTTGTCTCTTTGAATCGTCTCAGTTATTATTGAAATGACGATTTGTTCACTTTAATAGTCGAAGTCATTACTGAAAACACAATTTGTTCACTAATCGTCGAAGTTATTACTGAAAACACGATTTGTTCACTTTAATCGTCCAAGAACTTACTGAAAACACGATTTGTTCACTTTTATCATCTCGATAAAATTGTCTCAGTAAGTTCTGAAATGACAATATTTCACTTTTATCGTCTCAGTAATAACTGAAAACTCGATTCGTCCACTTGTAACAATAATATTTGAAATGAGGGTGTGTATACATAAATCTCAGAAAGAACTTAAGATTTGTCTCTTTGAATCGTCTCAGTTATTACTGAAATGACGATTTGTTCGATTTAAACTTGCCCATATGTTCACAATTCTGTTCATTTCAATTATCTCATTAATTACTGAGTAGACGATCTGTCCACTTTAATCTGCCCTAAGTTGTCTTATGTCCTCCATATTCGTATTCATTGGTCTCTAAGGTCATTTCAAGTCTGACCAATTAATTTTTAATAACCAAGTGACATTTTTTCTTATGTCAACTTGTACTCTTGACACCATAGTGCGAGTTGCCATCAATGTTCAATGGAAACCAACAGTGTTACGAATGGTTTTTGCTTCGAATCAATCCTATAGTTAAAACAATGTCAGTAACCGCGACTATTTAAATAGTGTGTACTTTGCTATTTCAGGACGAATTGACGTCAAGCAGAAGTGTACTTGAGTTTAGGTAAAACTAGTTCTGAAGAAGGTGACAATTATTGGCTTTATGTCGAGATTTCAATAAGATATTTGCCAAGAATAATCTATTTTTAATTAAAATGTTAAATAGAAAATAGATAAAGCAATAAATAACAAATTATATTATCAATTTTAATATCTCGCCGAAAGAAGTGTCCATGATAATCTATATATAGACAACAATTTGCTGTTGTGAATCGATTGCGAGACGACTCCTTAGAGAACTACTGTTTGTGCTTCCAGCATACGGAGATCATCTTAATGATCTTGTAATGTACTTGCCTGTTGGCAGTGCTCGAATACAGTACTTATTAACGCTGTGCTTAAATATCATACATTTAGCGAAGATTATCGTATTTTCCATAAAGGCTTGAATTGAATAGAAAGGAAAAGGTCAAGTATAACACACTAATTCAATAGAAAATCAAATTGTCCTATCACTAGGAATGAACTGGCATAGTTTTATCAAGGACATTATCGAAGAAATAAAAGGAAACAGAGAGATGTATAGCAACTGATCACGCAAAATTGCATTCATGTACCTTCACATCTGGTTCTTACTTATAACCCGTTTCACGAAGGATTAATTTGGTCCCGTAAGTATCCGATCTACTTTTGGTCGATCGGTGTCATTTTTACAAAAAATTCGTGAACCTGTGAGCATAATCGAGCATTGCCCTACACATTCGGGGGCGATGGACACTGTCCCCCGAGGGAAGGGCACAGACAAGTGATCGGCTAATGTTTTTTTGCACTACAGACGGCTCGATCTGGTCCAGATTGTCCCTGGTGAATTAAATTTTTTGATGAGCCTCTAATCGTCCCGAATCGAGTCCGATCGTCACAGATCGCCTCAAATCGTCTACCGACCAATGGAGCATAATATGGGTAGGGGAAACCACGGACGTCTCTGGTACGCGAACGCACGCTTAATTATCCTAACAACAACCTCAAGACCCGATGGAGGTCCGCTTCCCATGAGCCAGTAACCGATCTTCGCGCGTTGTTCAATTGAGAGATTAACAGTACCGGTTCGAGAGAGTACGCTTTCGGCCGTTTAGCTCTGCCGGTCTTCCACTATACCTTGCGTGAGAGTTGCCGAATGAAGGCGTATATTGACACAGGATATGTTGGCACACACCAGCACGAAGGTTGGATACCTGCGAGGGTGATCGGGCACATGCGGGGCACAGGCGGTCGTCTGAGGATTTGGCGAGGGTCGAGCGCTTATGCTATGCCAAAAAACGCACGACCATCGCTCGAGAGTGCTAGAGGTTAAGCCGAAAAGTCAAGAGTGTGGGCGAGACAAGGTGAACTTCGGACGATTGGATACTGTTTTTCAATATGTTTAATCCGGTGGTCGGAACTCAATCAGGTCAAAAAAGGGGACGATCGGGTCTATCAAAAAAATAGATCATCAGGGACAACCTGGAGCAGATCGGGCCGATTGGAAAAAAACAATCCTTGGTGAAATGGGGGTATAAGCTGAGCGAAAGGCAGTAACAAACAAAGCAATGTTTAATTGAAATTTTCCAAAACGTCAGCAAACTTCGTTTCCAGATATTATTCCATCTGAAACTGAAGTTTGACTGATCCTTTCAGTCCAAGTCTTTGTATGTAAATTGAGTTGCATTTTTCATATCCGGAAAAGTATATTCATTACTTTGTATGTTAAGGTACAAATTGAGTTGAAAATTTCACAAAAGTTTCTCGTACGTTTTTAAATAGATTAACACCGAGTACATCCTCTGCTGACAATTTGTTCTTGTGTTATTCTGTTGAACTATAAAAGTAATTGATTCAATAAGGCATGAAGTTAAATCACTTTGTATCATTGATTTGGTTGACCTACATATAGATCAGATTATCAGTTTCAGTTCTAAAACATCATTATCAAGACGTGGTGACACTGGATGATCTAGATACAGATCAGATTATCAGTTTCAGTTCTAAAACATCATTATCAAGACGTGGTGACACTGGATGATCTAGATACAGATCAGATAATCAGTTTCAGTTCTAAAACATCATTATCAAGACGTGGTGACACTGGATGATCTAGATACAGATCAGATTATCAGTTTCAGTTTTAAAACATCATTATCAAGACGTGGTGACAGTGAATGATCTAGATACAGATCAAATTATCAGTTTCAGTTCTAAAAAATCATTATCAAGACATTTCAGTTCTAAAACATCATTATCAAGACGTGGTGACACTGGATGATCTAGATACAGATCAGATTATTTATGCCATTGATCCTGAAGTTACATCGAGCAGTGACAATCTGTTAAAGGGACAGGTCCGCCATCCGGATTTAGTCTGAGAAATGAGAATCAGTAATAGTGTTCACAACCCACCATCAAAATTTGAACCTTCAAATCCATGTTTGTCTAGAATTATTCGCGTTTGAAAGTTTAATGACGACTTGTCTTTTCATGACTGTTATGTATAGAAAATACATATATTTGTAGAATTATAGAAATAGAAAGTGTGCATCAGATTCAATATAACAATTTTTTAAAAAGATACATTTCAATACCAACATTGTAAAATCATTCTAGAGCGGTGGGCTTGCTACACACTAAGTTAATTCAGTGTCACCAAACAGTAATACTGAGAGTAAACAAATATTCAATCAACACTGATATTGTGCTCTGTTATTAAGCTAGCTAATCCTAGGCCGTTATCTATAATATAAATATAGGCTAATCAAGCTATTAACTCTCGGGTTATTTCTGACGTCTAATTTCCACACTGCTATTTTCAGACCAAATATCATCTATTAACTTACAGAATAAGTGCGATATGGCTTCTTTTATGTTTCCATGGTTACATTAATGTACCTTAATTTTAAATGACATTAATTAAAAGACACTATTTTACGTGCGTGTGTATTCAGGTGGTATATAAGAAA